GGAGGATTTCTGCCGTCAAACCGAGTTTTCTGATCCACAGACACAGGGTGTCCCCTGGCTCCCGTCGGCCTTTATTCTCTGAGATGATGGTTAGAGGCTTTCTGAGCACATCTTCACGCGGGTTGTTTTTTTTTTTTCCTTTCTTCCTGTGGGGTTAAATTGAACCTAAGGGCTCACACATGCTAGGCTCCACCACAGAGCGCTGCTCACAGCCCTGTATTTTATTTTCACTTTTAGTTTTAATTTGTGTGTGTGTGTGTGTGTGTGTGTGTGTGTGTGTGTGTGTGTGTGTAGTATATACACATGAGTGTGGACATCTATCCATTCCCGTGTGAGAATGCAGAGGCCAGGGGACAGCTTTGGATGTCTCCTCTGTTGCCTGCCTCCTCTGTCTGTCAGTGCTGGGGTGACAGGAGCATGCAGTCACGGCTGGCTTTGTTTCTTTTTTGGTTTTTGAAGACAAGGTTTCTCTGCAGACCAGGCTGGCCTCGAACTCACAAATATCCACCTGCCTCTGCCTCCTGAGTATTGGAGTTAAAGGTGTGTGCCATCATTGCCCAGCTTTTCATGTCTGGCTTTAAAAACAGTATTTTTGTTTTTGTTTTGTTTTTCGAGACAGGGTTTCTCTGTGTAGTTTTGGTTCCTGTCCTGGATCTTGCTCTGTAGCCCAGGCTGGCCTTGAACTCACAGAGATCCACCTGGCTCTGCCTCCCAAGTGCTGGGATTAAAGGTGTGCCACTACCCAGCAATCAATCAATCAATCAATCAATAAATAAATATTAAGAATTACTCTGAGGAGAGGTGTCCCATAATGTGCAGGGGGGGGGGATTAAACTTGAACTCAGGGCATCTTTCTGGCCCATGGCCAGCTTCCGTATTTCATCTTTTTGTTTGTTTGTTTGTTTGTTTGTTTGTTTGTTTTTGAGAAGGCTGTCATACAGCCAGGCTGGGCTGACACTCACTCTGTAGTTGAGGACAGTCTTGAACTCAATCTCCTGACTCTTCCTCCCTGTTGCCGGGATCGTAGGGCACAATGTCACACCTGGCTCTGGAACGTTTTTGTTGTTCGTTTCTTTATCTTGGATTGTCCATTCCTAGCACATAGAAAACCCACAGTTCTTGTGCATTGATCTAGGATCCTGCCGACTGTGAGTTAGTTCAGTGGCTGGTCACTTGCTTCAGAAGAGTCTCGTGACACAGCCCAGACTTCCCCTGGAGCTCTCTATCCTCTGTCTCAGCCTCCTGAGTGCTGGGTTTGCAGGCGTGCATGCCATCTGGCTGCTGCCTGGCTGGAGGCGGACTTACTTCATCTTATCTCATGTAGCCTAGGCTGGCCTCAGACTCCTTATCCAGCTGAGGCTGGCCTTGAACTGCTGACCCCCTGTCTCCCACTCTCCGGTGCTGGGATTGCAGATAGTGGTTCTATGCTCAGCCCAGAGCTTTCTGACAGGAACGTGGACATCCTGATACATGCGTGTATTATTTTTATGTGTGTTTTGACTTCACGCATGTATGTGTACCACATGTGTGCCACATCAGTCCTCATCAGATCCCCTGGAACTGGAGTTACAGTTGTGAGCTGCCATGTGGGTGCTGGGACTCAACCCTGGGTCCTCTGCAAGAGCAGCCAGTGCTCTTAACCACTAAGCCATCTCTCCAGTCCCTGCATAGTGCATTTTTGATAGGCACATGCCTCTCATGCTTTAATTATATTTATATCTAATATTTTTATATGTATGAGTGTTCTGCCTGCATGTATGCATACATACTACTTGCATGCTTGGCGCCCTTAGAAGTTGGAAGAGGGCATTGGGTCCTCTGGAACAGATGGTTGTGAGCCTCCGCATGGGTGCTGGGAATTGAACCCAGGTCCTCTGAAGAGCAGCCAATGCTCTTAACCGCTGAGCCATCTCTCCAGATCCTGAGGTGTGTTTTTGATAGGCACATGACTATCGTGGTTTAGGCTATCCTTCCAGACCCCATGTGCATCTGGACTGAGGCACAGCCTTAAAGTCTGGCCACGCTGTGCTGGGCACATCAGGCAGCCTTCCTACCTCCCACTAGAGGGCAGCACTGGGTACCCGCAGTGGAGACCCCCGGGACCTGAAAGGCTCTCTGTCTGGCCCTTCACAGAAGAGCTTTTGCCCACTGGCTTAGCCGGCCTCTTTGCAGTCAGGCCTCGTGAGCCCGTCTTTCTGGGGTCCCTGGGGGTGAGAAGCAGCTCCCTCTTTGGTTCTCCATGTATTACTTCCTTCCCAGGCTGGCAGTGGCTGCTCCTCCCCAGCAAGAACATTTGCGGGCAACAGTCACACAGTTACAACCCGGGTGAGAAGAACAGATGTCAGACCCCATTCGTCCCTCCGGGACTGGCCATCCTGGCCCAGAATTCTCTGCTTGCCTGCATCTTAGTGCTTCAGCACTCTCTCCCTCCTCTCCTTCCTTCTCTGAACTCCATCGCACAGCCCTCTCCCTGCTGACCTAGGGCACCCGTGTGCATAGGTCTCTGCCCTCCGCTGCACCTGTGTGCCCTGGTCTCCGCCCACTGCTGCACCTGTGTGCCCGGGTCTCTGCCCTCCGCTGCACCTGCACACTCTGGTCTCCGCCCACTGCAGCACCTGTGTGCATGGGTGTCTGCTGACCTAGGGCACCTGTGTGCACAGGTCTCTGCCCTCCGCTGCAACCTGTGTGCATGGGTCTCCCCCCCTCTGCTGCACCTGCTTGCATGGGTCTCCCCCCTCTGCTGCACCTGTGGGCACCGGTCTCTGCCCTCCGCTGCACGGGTCTCATCGGTGCTCCACTACCAGGCAGTGCCGTGTGTGTTGGTCCAGCTCCTCACACCATCCCTCCCTTGGGATTAAAAACAATCTCTTATGTCTTGGGGCTGGAGAGACGGCTCAGCAGTTAAGAGCACTGGCTGTTCTCCCAGGGAACCCAGGTGTGATCCTTATTACACACATGACAGCTCACAATCAATTGTCTGTAACTCTAGTGTCAGGGGATCCATATCTTCTTTTGGCCTCCAAGGGCACCAGGCACATACGTGGTGAACAGACACACATGCAGGCAGAACTCCCATACACATACAAGAAATAAATACATTTGAATTTTTAAATAGATCTCGGGGCTGGAGAGCTGGTTCAGGTTAAGGGCACTTGCTTCTCTTTCTTGCAGAGGACCAGAGTTTGGTTCCCAGCGCCCACACTGGGTGGCTCACAACCCAGCCCCAGGGGATCCAACACCCCCTCTGGCCTCTGCGAGCACCTGCAATCACTTGTCACCTGCACGCACTTGCCAGCGCATGCACACGTGCACTCACGCACGCACGCACGCACGCACACTAAACATTTTGTTTTAAAATGGTCTTCCTCCAGTACTCTGTTACCTGACCGTCACCCATGAACAATAACCACGTGGAAACGAAATGCCCCTCAGATACAGTGGACAGCCATATACTTCCATCTTGTGCCCCTGAGCTGCCCTTTCAGCCTCTGTGCCCGCAGCCGCCCACTCTTCAGGTCTCTGTCACCTGAGACGGGCTCACCTGCTCTTGAACACTGCAGTCACACGCGGCCCATTCCACAGACTGTACTAGTTGGAGTCTGCGCTCTCTCACCCACACGGATGAACTCCTGCGGCGTGTCTCAGGTTTCGGTTGTTGGCACTCGGCACGGTAGGCGTGGAGTAGTGTGCATGCCAGCATGCCTATCTGTTTTCCTCCTCATGGATGCCCGAATCCCTCCAACCTGACTATTTTTATTATTATTTATTTAGAGACAAAGTCTCACTCCATAGTCCTGGAACTCGCACTGTAGACCAGGCTGGTCTTGAACTCAGAGATCTGCCTGCCTCTGCCTCCTGAGTGCTGGGATTAAAGGCGTGCGCCACCATACCTAGCTAGAAGATGGTGTAGGGCAGTTCACAGCTTTCCTGCTTTTTTGTGGTATCTTTTTTTGTTTGCTTCTTTTTGGTTTTTGGTGATAGGGTTTCTCGGTGTAGACCTGGCTGTCCTGGACCACACTTTGTAGATGAGGCTGGCCTTGAACTCAGAGAGATCCCCACCACAGCCCAGCTCATACAGTGGTATATTTAAAAATGCTTTTTTTTTTTTTTTTTTTTTTTTAGGATAGGGAGATGGCTCAGCAGTTAAGAGCACTAGCTGCTCTTCCAGAGGACCCAGGTTCAATTCCCCAACCACCTGGTAACTTACAACCCTCTGAAATTCCAGTTACAAGGGATCTGATGCCTTCTCTGTCCTCTGTGGGCACTGTAAGCACACACAGATATCCATGCTGAAAAACTCATAAATATGAAATAATAAATAAAATCTCAAATATTTAAGCCAGGTGGTGGTGGCGGCGGCACATGCCTTTAATCCCAGCACTTGGAAGGCAGAGTCAGGTGGATCTCTGTGAGTTCGAGGCCAGCCTGGTCTACAAAGTGATCTCCAGGACAGGCACCAAAACTACACAGAGAAACCCTGTCTTGAAAAACAACAACAACAAAAAACCCTTTTAAAATATTGCATCGTGTGTGTGTGTGTGTGTGTGTGTGTGTGTGTGTGTGTGAAGGCCAGACAACAACTTGCAGGAGGCAGTTGTCCTCCTTATATCACGTGGGAGGCAGGGATCAAACCCAGGCCATCAGACTTGGCTGCAGGCACCTCTACCCACTGAGCCATCCTGCCGCCCTTGGCATCCCTTGGTAATGGTTACTTAGAGCCCTTTGAAAACGCCTCTCCTCCCGGTGAGGTGTAACAATGCTGGAGCCATCCTTGCCATCAGGCTGAGCCCCTTCCGGGTGGCGTCTCAGCCCCCGAAGGACCGATGCCCGTTAGCTGTGGATGCCGGTACCCCTAAGAGGTGACTCTCTCGAATCAGCCACCTGAGGTCGCCCTCCGCCCTCTGGTGGAGTCTTGGGTTTCCCCAGGGTCCTCATCCCCTTATTCATTTCCACCTCCAGGTCAAGCCCCGTTGGGCTGCATCACTTCTGGCGTGGCCCTCTGGGAGTTTCCCTTGGAAGCGCCTTTCTCTGTGGTCGGCTAGTCTGTGCCTGACCGCAAAGGCGTAACCTCCAAGCTGGGACCCCCTCACTCGAGGATGGGCCACCTGCCAGGTAAGTGCAGAGGCCAGGTCACTGGGGCGAGGGGCTGGGGAGACTGGAACGGCCCGGGGGAAGGGAAGGAGCTCAGGCCCATCTGCTGATCCAGCCCCCAGGGCTGTCCGTAGCCAGCAGGCAGGACTCCAGCTAGCCACCCCAACCATTCCCTGCTCTCTGCCCTCGCCTCCCAGGCAGGCCAGGCCAGGCAGTGGAGCCCCTACACGACGCGAGACTCACCCATCAAAATGCCGTTCAAGGGCTGGAGAGATAGCTCAGCGGTTAAGAGCACTGGCTGCTCTTCCCGAGGTCCTGAGTTCAATTCCCAGCAACCACATGGTGGCTCACAGCCATCTGTAGTGAGATCTGGCGCCCTCTTCTGGCCTGCAGGCATACATGCAGGCAGAACACTGTAGACATAACAAATCTTTAAAAATCTCGTTCAGTCTCCAGCCCAGCGGGAACAAACTCCTGGCTCACTCCACCTGTCCCTCCCGCTCTCACACCCCCGCCCAGCCTTTGGGACGCCCTTTGCCCCTTCTCACCCCCAGAACTACAGTGCGTCCCCAGTGCCCAGCCTAAGGGCATGTGCCACCACGCCTGGCTTGGCTTTTTTTGTCTGTTTATTATTTTTGGGACAGGGTCTCAAGGAGGGAGGTTCTAACCCGCCCCACAGAGGAAGGTGGCCAGAGGCAGTGATCCTCCTGCCTCCACCTCCTGTGTGCTGGCGTTAAAGAGTCACACCTCCAAGTCTGTGATGAGCTGGGGTCGGAACCCCAGTTTGTAAGGCCGGTGGGCACACTCTGGTAACTGAGCCACAGCCTCGGCCTTACCTCAGGTTTTCCTCACGAACGACCATCACTGGAGGCTGAGCGGGTCCTTGATACAGCTTGATTTTTAGTGTGTGTGTGTGTGTGTGTGTGTGTGTGTGTGTGTGTGTGTGCACGAACTTCTGTGTGCCTCTGTGCCCGAGCTTGATTTGTGTGTGTGTGTGTGTGTGTGCACGAACTTCTGTGTGCCTCTGTGCCCGAGGAAGCCAGATCCTCCGGAGCTAGAGTTACAGGTGGCTGAGTCACCTGACACAGTGGTTAGGAACGTGGCACTCTGGACAGGTGATCCGTCCCTCCAGCTGACAGAATCGCGATCCCCTGCAGGGACCCCGGAGGCGCTCAGGACCTCAGGTGCCTGCACTCAGGAGCACACGGCCCATGGAGACTTGACGGACCACAACCCTGAGCAGCTGGCTGCTTTCTTTTCCCTCTAAAGCCTTGTTCTGCCCCCCCCCCCCCGCTTGTGTCCCCGCTGGGTGCAGGGTGAATTTGCAGCTTCTCTGATGTCCCCAACCCCAGCACGCTGCAGGGGTACCTCGCCGGGCCCAGGTTCCTTCCAGACTCCCACCTCCTGGCCAGTAAGTCGTCTGAAGGCCACACAGCAGGCCTGCACTCGGGCCTTCGTTTGAGAGAGCTTACCTGCGACTGCAGGCAGCTGCCAGGCAGGCCGCATTGAGGTAAGGAGGACACGTGAGAGCCTGCGCAGAAGGCGCTGGCTGCTGATGGCACCCGGCATGCAGCCCGTGAGCTGTGGCACAGGGGTGGAGTGGGACGCTGATGGGGTTGGTCTCACTGAGGGGCAGGGGGAGGTGAGGCCTTTCCTCCCTCCGGGGCGGTGCAGGGGGCGGGGGGGGGGGGAGCGCCATTCACTTGCCGCCCCCTCACCAGCTGGACCAGGGAGCATTGCGGGTGCTGCAGCCGCCTGGGGGTGGGCAGCAGCAGCCCCTGTGCGATGCGGTGTCTGCGCGTTTACCTGGTGAGCTGGCCCCACGCCATGGCTGCCCGGGCCCTTCCTTTGGTTTTTGGAAGTGCCGGATCCGCGTCTGAGGGGAGCTGCTCTGTGGCAGCTCGCGACACTTGGGGAAGTCAGAGTGCAGACCAAACAAACCCTCTTTCCCGGCGTCCCCCAGCAAGGCCAGGGATAAAATCTCCTCTCCCCAGATCTTTTGCTGGGATCTACTCTCAATACAAGTGATTTCATCACTGATGAGATTCAATTGAAAAACCTCAAACTCCATAGCTGAGGGGGGGCGGGGGGAGGGGAAGACCCAAGAGCCGGTTAAATAAAATAAAAGGCAGGGCACAGTAATTTAAACCCACGTGTAGAAACACAGAGGGGTGGAGAGATGGCTCAGTAGTTGGGAACACTGGTTGGATGGAGGCAGATCTGGGTTCGAGGCCAGCTTGGTCTACAGAGGGAGATCCAGTACAGCCAGGGCTGCCCAGAGAAACCCTGTCCTAAAAAACCAAAACCTCAAACAGACAAAGGATAAAGGGTGCTGACTGGGACAGTCAGAAATGTAATCTGTGTAAGGGTCCTGGCTCAAGGGGCCAGGAGGGGAAGGAATGATAGAAAGGTAGATTTTTGTTCCCCCCTAAGCTAGGGTCTCATGCAGCCCAGCCTGGCCTTGAAACCCTCCTGCGTTCATCTCCAAGGACTGGAACTAGTGTGGAACTCACTCACACTCACTTGCTATTATGACTGGCTAAAGTTTTTTGTTTTGTTTTCTTTGAGACAGGGTTTTTCTGTATAGTCTGACTGTCCTGGAACTCACTCTGCAGACCAGGCTGGCCTCGAACTCAGAGATCTGCCTGCCTCTGCCTCCCGGGTGCTGGGACTCAAGGTGTGCGCCCCCACCACCTGGCTTGACTAAAGTTTTTATATGCTATTGAGATTATGTTGGTAGTAGCTCAAATTATATTCTATTAAATTAAGATGTTAACGGTCATCCGTAGGACCATCACCAATACCTAGAAAGAAAAGAAAAAAAGACAAGGAAATTGGAATGTCACTCTAGAAAACGTTTGTGTTACTCAACCCAATTGCAGGTGGTAATGGACAATGACAGATGGGGCAGTGTAGTAAGACAGAAAACTTGTGGGGTTGGAATGGAGCTCAGCTGGCAGTGTGCTGGCCGTGCGTGGATGTGGGGTGCTGGGAACTGAACCCAGGTCCATGGGAAGAGCAGCAAGTACTCTTGAACGATGAGCCAAAGATCTTATGATGAAAAGAGTCAAAATATGAGAGGCATTATTATAATCATGTGTGTGTGCACCAAAGCCCCATATACACAGAGCCAAGCTGAAGGAACCAAAGGCACCTTCGAGACAGCTCAGCAGTCATCATGGAGAAAAAGCACCACACTCCCACCCAGGGACAGAACAACCGGACGAAAGGACAAGCTGAGGATGCCCTGGAAACCCATCAGATCTCACAGCTACTTACCGAAATGCCGCCTCTCTCGTTGGAAAGACAGAACTGAGTCCCCCAAGTTGTCCCCCGACCGCCACACATCTGCTGCCATTCATACACACACACACACACACACACACACACACACACACACACAGAGTAAAAATGTAATACTGATAATTTTTAAAATGCCATGCAAAAGCATGCATATAATCTTCTTAAAAGTAGGACAGATTCTCTGGGCCAGACCATATGTGGCTGTGAAAGTCTCAATACATTTACAAGGATATGAGTCAAACAAAGAACTGTACATGGTATGTGCTCTAACCACAGAGGAATGAAATCAGATTAATAACAGAAGGAAGGCAGTTGGAAAAGTCACAAATATGTGGAAATTAAGCACACTCTTTAGCAAGCTGAGGTCAAAGAAAAAATTATGAAGGAAATTAGAAAATACTTTGGGATGAATAAAAACAAAAACTTGGCCTGAAGAGATGGCTCATTGGTTACAAGCACTGGCTGATCTTGCAAAGGACCCAGGTTCAATTCCCAGCACCCACATGGTATTTCCCAACCATCTGTAACTCCAGCTCCAGGGGATCTGACTCCCCTCTGGCCTCCACAGGCACTGGATACACATGTGGTGCACAGACATACATGCAGGCAAAATATAAAATAAAAACAAATAAATCCAAAACAAAAACGCAACATACCAAGGGTATGGCTTTGTCAAGCCAGAGGGGAAGTTGGAGCTGTTAAGTCTGTCCTAAGAAGGAAAAGTCTTGGGGATGGAGAGATGGCTCAACATTTAAGAGTTGGTACTGGTTTCAAAGAACCCAAATTCATTTCCCAACACTCACAAAGAGCAGCTCATAACTAACTGTAACTCCAGCTCCAGGAAATCTGTGCATGTACTGTGTGTACATGCGAGCATGCGCACATGCACACACACACACACACACACACACACACACGCACACGCGCGCACACACACACACACACACACACAGTGGTGGTGTACGGGATTTCATATAGGGCACCTGTACCCTGACTGCCATTTATTCCAGGCAGTAGCATGTGCAGTGAAAATACAAAGCTACACCGGTCCATCTGAATCTAAAAGCTAGGATATTGAATCAGAAAGCAAGGGTGGCCCACGTCATGATCCCAGTGCTTGTGAGGTCGAGACAGGGGACCTCCAAGTAACATGGCCAGCTTGAGCAGCTGACTTGACAAGCTCTGGGCTCAAGGGAGAGGCAGACCCTGAATGTCAACTTCTGACCACTCACAAGCATACCCGGGCCAGTGCGCCTCACACCATGCACACGTGCATGTCAAAGGAGCAATTACTTCCTAACAAATAGAAAAGCAAAACAATCCCAAATCAAAACCCCAGGTCACTTTATTAAGTCAAGTGTCCATTCTCTGCCTCCACAGGAGATGGGGAAGCTGTGGTTCAGCACCCACCTCTTCCCCACCATTTCTCAACATCCGTGTGCAGTCTGTGTCTCCACGGGCTGGGTGGCTCAGCAACGCTCAGCGGGTAAGTCTGTTGGGAAGACGCGCTTCATTTCACTTTCGAAATTCTAAGCACTTCAACATGCCTCCCAAGAGACTGTACGGTTTGGAAAACGAGACAAAATCTGGGGGGTGGGAACTCAGAGAAGTGCAAAGATTCTGTCTGTCAAAAGGGCATTAAGGAACTAGGGGAGATGGCTCACTAGGAAAAATGCCTGCTTTACACCGGGGCCCTGAGTTCAGATCCCCAGCACTCATGGTGGAGTTAGTGGCACACCCTAGGTGGGAGCAGTGGGCCCCACGTCTGCAGCTGCAGTACTGGGGACCACGTAGACAGGTGGATCCCAGCACCTCGCTGACCAGCCAGTTCAGCCAAATGCATGAGCTTTGGTTCAGAGAAAGAACTTGATTCATTCAGCTACCAAAGACGACACTGGACATCAACCTCTGGCCTCACACACACATCCACACCCACACAGACATGTGATACATAAACCACACACACCAAAGGCCATTATAGCCACTGAAAGTGAATCAGTGAGACTCCTTTTTTTTTTTTTTTTTTTACACAAAGTTCTTTTTCTTTTTTCTTTCTTCCAAGCACTGCATGCAGTTTTTCTTTTTGACAAGGTCTCAAGTATCCCAGAATGGCTTTGAACTCCTGATCTTCTGCCTCCACCTCCTAGGTGCTGGGATGACAGGTGTATGCCACCACACCCACCTGGCTCTTCATAGCAGCTTTTTTTTTTTTTCCCCCCACAATAGCGAAAAAGGGCGGAAACAGAGCTCCGCCCACACATGAATGGATACAATGGGTCATTCAGCTTTGGGACAGGAGCTCCTTAACGCCTGCTTCAACAGGGAACCTAATGCTAACTGGAATAATGCAGTCATAGGAAGATAAGACGTCCTGGGCTGTGGCCCTTGCCTAGCAGGTAAAAAAAAAAAGTTGGCTTTGATGCCCAACACTGCAAAAAAAAAAAAAAAGAAGAGAGAAATACCGCATGCGTCTGCTCACAGGAGTTAACCTAGAGATGTGGAGGGGTGTGTGCAGGGACTGGGGGCGTGCTGTGAGGACTTAGGGTTTACTGGCACAGTTGCGGAGTTGAGAGAGGGAAGGTTTGGAGCCTGGCTGCACAACGCCTTTCAGAAGGCATTGAGCTACTACTGACTTACACGTTAAGATGGCCGAGTCAAGCAAGAGGACCTACATTCAGGCCCCCAGCATCCGCATAAAAAGCCGGTGTGGCTGGGCATGGCGGCGCACACCTCTAATCCCGGCACCTGGGGCAGGTTCAGAGGCAGGTCCAGCTCGGTCTACATAGGGAGTTCCAGGCCAGCCAGGGCTACATAACAATATCCTGTCTTTTAAAGGAAGAAGAAGGGGTTGGGGATTTAGCTCAGTGGTAGAGCGCTTGCCTAGCAAGTGCAAGGCCCTGGGTTCAATCCTCAGCTTAAAAAAAAGGAAGGATTATTGGGCCAGTGAGATGGCTCAGCAGGTAAAGGCACGTGCCTGACGGCCTGAACTTGATCCCTGGAACCCACCTGGCAGAAGGTGGAAACCAACTCTGCAAACTGTCTTATGATCTGCCATGCATGTGCACACACAGGTAGACACACACTCACATAATGGAAGAAGGTGAGTCTAGTCTGAAGAGCACAGACCCGTTCTGCAGCTATGGCGGCCTCAGAGTCACGTTGCTGGTTGGTCATCTGGGTGGAGGGTGGCTAGAATATGGTGTGCTTCTGGCTTCCACATCCCAAGAAAAGTGAAGGACCAAACTATTGAGTATTTACCATGGACCAGACTGGGGTGGTGTGCCATATGCTGGGCATGGGAGCAGCGAAGGAAAGTGTTCATCCCCACATCTCTTAGGGGTGTCTGTGAGTCACATTTTCTTTCTTATTTTTTGGAGCTGAGGACCAAACCCAGGACCTTGCATTTGCTAGGCAAGCGCTCTACCACTGAGCTAAATCCCCAACCCTTCCCTTAAAAAAAAATAAAAAACAAAAAAACTTATTTAACTTTATTTTATGTGCATTGGTGTAAAGGTGTCAGATACCCTGGAACTGGAGTTACAGACAGTTGTGAGCTGCCATGTGGGTGCTGGGAATTGAACCCGGGTCCTCTGGAAGAGCAGCCAGTGCTCCTAACCCCTGAGCCATCTCTCCAGCCCTGAGTCACTTTTCTTAACTTCATATCCAGGCCAGTGTCATCTTTAGAAAGGACACCATTAGTATTTCCGAGGGCAATAGTGTATGTATGGGCATAAGGTTTGTTTATTATTTATTTATTCATTCATTTATTTATTTTTGAGACAAGGATTCTGTGTAGCCCTGGTTGTCCTGGAACTTCCTCTGTAGACCAGACTGGCTTGCCTCTGCCTCCCAGGACGCTGGGCTTAAAAGGCACTTGCCACCACCTCCTACTTATTTATTTGAGAAAGAATCTCACTATGTAGACCAGGCTGGCCCTCAATTTGAGAGATCCACCTGCCTCTGTGTGTGTGTGGGGGGGGGCATCCCACCCCCACATTTCCCCAGAGTACTCTTGAGCAGGAGCAGGAAAATATTAGATCGAAGTTTAGAGGGAAGAGAAACAGGAAACACAGGATAGCCTCGTGAGGACCTGGATCCTAATCCATCGGCCCCGACTGTTTCTGCCAAAGGGCTTTTAAAGGAATGCCAAGGGGTGGAGCATAAGACCTGCCCCCAGCACAGCCAAGTGCAGACCATCTCAGACACCTGCACTCAGGCCCGTGGTTCAATCATCCTCTTTATGCAGACCTGCTGGGTAAAGCCACGAGGAACCCTAAATGGACTCCAATAGTCCTCTACCTCCTGAGTGATGAGATTAAAGGTGTGTGCCACCATGTCTGGCGTGGGGTTAAGAATTTTTTTCCCCGAGACAGGGTTTCTCTGTGTAATAGTCCTGGAACTCACTTTGTAGACCAGGCTGGCCTTGAACTCAGAGATTCACCTGCCTCTGCCTCCCAAGTTTTGGGATTAAAGGTGTGTGCCACCATGTCCAGCTGACTTAAGTTTTTTTTTGAAAGTCATTTATTTTTATGTGCATGTGTGTGCCTGTGTGAGTTCATGTGCTCACCCGTGTGTAGCTGTCTGTTATAGTCAAAAGAGGTAACAAGTCTTCTGGAACTGGACTTATATTTGTTTCCGGCTGTGAACCCACCCTGGGTTCCCTGACAGAGCAGCACACGCTCTTAACTGCTGAGCCACCTCTCCAGCCCCATATTTTGTTTTTAAGTAGTGTATAGGCACGATGTTTTTTTTTTTAAAGATTTATTTATTTATTATGTATACAGAAGAGGGCACCAGATCTCACCACAGATGGTTGTGAGCCACCATGTGGGTGCTAGGAATTGAACTCAGGTCCTCTGGAAGAGCAGTCGGTGCTCTTAACCTCTGAGCCATCTCTCCAGCCCACACGATGTTTTTAAAATAATTGTTTATTTTGTGTAAGTGTAAATGTGTGGAGGTCAGAGGACAACTTGCCAGTTGGAGGCTGAACTCAGGTCATCAGGTTTGGAAGCTGGCATCTTCACCCACTGAGACACGTGGCCAGCCTAGGTTTAGGTGTTTAGATAGAAAAAAAAAATTCAAGGTGTCCCGCCACCCCCACCCCCCCCAGATCCCTCCTTGTTACTTAGCCTCTCTGGGTCTGTGGATTGTAGCTTGGTTGTAGGGATCAGGGACAGCTGTTTGTTCCAGGGGCCAATTTGCTAAGACCTCTGCCCTATAATACCCCACCATCCTATGCTGACTCATGTCTGGCTTCAACCAGACCCTCAGGAAGTATGTCCAGTCTGGTAGCCAATCAGGGTCCTACCCGACCACAAGCAGGAACTGGTCTTGCTATTTTCAGTCAGACAGACCCCTGACACTGCAACCACACTTGCTGACCAGGTGTCATGAGCCAATCATAAAATGATTCCTGTATCAGTTAGGGTCTGTCCCCAATTACTTCAAAGTACACTTAACCTCAGCCCAGAGCAGGCTTAGAAGGGGCTGCCTTACCCTCCCTTGGGGTCGAAGCCATTTTGGGTGGGTTCCAGCTGCTTTCTGCAAGTGCATACCAGGTGTCTTCAGGTCATTTGGAGCAATCTAAGGACCCTACATGGTTGTCCTTTACTTAAGAGCTCACGTCCACTTCAAGTGAGTACACACCACGTTTGTCTTTCTGTGTCTGGGTTGCCTCCTCAGGATTATTATTATTATTTTTAGTTCTGTCCATTTGCCTACAATTTCAAGATGTCATTTTTTTTTAAAGATTTATTTATTTTATTATGTATACAGTGTTCTGCCTGCACACATCCCCGCAAGTCAGAAGAGGGCACCAGATCTCATTACAGATGGTTGTGAGCCACCATGTGATTGCTGGGAATTGAACTCAGGACCTTTGGAAGAACAACCAGTGCTCTTAACCTCTGAGCCATCTCTCCAGCCCCAAGATGTCATTTTTTTAAACAGCTGAGCAATACTATATTGTGTCACATACCATTTTCTTTATCTGTTCTTCAGTTTCTAGGCTGTTTCCAGTTTCTGTCTATTAAGAATGAAGCTGCTATGAACACAGTTGAACAAGTGCCTTTGTGATAGGATGGAGTGTCTTTTGGGTATATGCCCAAGAGTGGTATAGCTGTCTTGAGGCAGACTGATTCCCAATTTTCTGAAGATCCGTCATGCTGATTTCCATAGTGACTGTACAAGTTTGCACTTCCACCAGCAGTGGAGGAGTGTCCCCTTGGGATGCAGGCAGGGATCTCCCTGGGAAGGGAAACAGACCTTGTGGGTGGACTGGGGATGGGTAGGGATGGGAACAGGAGGGACCAGGTGGGGTAGGGAGAGACAAGTAGAATTGGGGGCATGGGGGGGGTGACGTGGGAACCTAGTACAGTGGAAACTTCCTGGAACCCGTGAGAGTGACCCTGGTGAGGACCCCAGTAATGGAGGATATGAGGCCTGAACCAGCCATCTTCCATAACCAGGTAAGGCGTCCAGCGGTGGGATGGGGACATTTGACCCATAACCTGTCCTTCCTGCAGTATGTGCTGGGGCAATGGTGGCTCCGAGCTTGTGGGGAGCGGCCGACCAATGACTCATCTAACTTGAGGCCCATGGCAACCACTATCCCAAAAGCAAGAGAATAGAATTCATAAAGAAGACTGAATGGGTCCTTCCTCACATTGTACGACAAAAGCCAATTTCTGGAGTTGCCCATGGCTGACACTGCCTGGATGTCCAGGAACTGGAAGGTGGATAGCTTAGGGAACTAGGGTAAAACCAAACACCACTGACAAAACCCAACCAACCAACCAACCAAACCCCAAAACAACATAAAGCCAATGGCGTGACTACTGAGGACGTTCTGCTACACTCACAGACCTGCCTGGGCCAACTGTCCTCAGAGAGGCTTCCTCCAGCAGCTGATGGGAGCGGATACAGAGACCTACAGCCAAACATTAGTTGGAACTTGGGGAACCCCGAGGAAGAGGGGGAGGAAAGAGTGTAGGAGGCAAAGGAGTCAAGTCACAGAGTCACCGAGCAGGGCTCACGGGGCTCGCAGACTGGCGTGGCAGTCCGGAGCCTGCACGGGTCAGCCTTTGGTCCTGTGCTCTTTGCCGTGAAGTTATTTAGCTTGGGGTGTTTGTGGGACCCTTAACAGTGGGAGTGGGCTGTCTCTGACTCTTGCCTGCTCTTGGGACCTGTATCCTCTCGTGGGGTGGCCTCATCCAGCCTTCCTATGAAGGTTTGTGCCTGGTCTTATTGCATCTTGTTATGTTGGTATCCCTTGGAGGCCTGCTCTTTTCTGAAGGGAAACGGAGGTGGGTGGAAGTGGGGTACTGGAGGGAGGGGAGGCTGTGGTTGGTTGGGATGTACTGTATGAAACAAGAATAAATAAAAAGATAGAAAAGCAAAACAAAACCAAAAGCCAATCCAGACTCCTCTGTGTGGGAACCTGGTTGTGAGGAGATATAATAGATCTGGCTGGTGACTCTTGAGGTCAGCCCCACCCTGCCCCTAAATACTAATAATTACCTCATTTGTTCTATCTCTTTTCTTGGTCAGGAGCTCTACAGAGATGACCTGAAGCTGAGTCATGATGTCCCGAGGCCAGAGCTGCTACCTTATAAAAACACATCGCCCCGAAGCCGACTAGGTCCAGAAACACGGAATAGCAGGAAGAAAGGCCTGGCGTCTAGGTGTACCCCGTCAACTGAGACACACTAGTGCTCCTGGCTCTCAGAAGGTGAGCCCCTCGAAGCAGCCTTGTCTTCCCACATCTGGAAGGTTACCAGAGCGTGACTTCAGGAAGTGACGTGGGCCTCACTCCAGTCTGAGGCTTCAGGGCCGCTTTCCCATTACTGTTCTCTGGAGCTGACCCCGTGGACCCCTGGGGTGTTGGGGGGGGGCAGTGTGGAGCTGAGCACCTTGCCCTGGACTTACCTTCGGTGAACAGCGGCATTCCAATAAACAGAACTTCTGTCCTTTCTCAAGCTAATCAGGTTGCGAGATGGGAGGGCGGGCGGGCGGGCGGGCGGGCCTGCCACTCAGGGAGTCCAAAAGTACCACCCCCACACCCCCACTTCACCCAGAGCGGCTTCAGGGAAGAGGTGCCCTCGGGGCTGCAGTGCTGGCTGGCTTCTCCCAGGCGGAGTGGGGCCCACGGAATGCCCCTTCTCTTCCGACGGGAGGAGCCACAGTGCGGTCTAGAAGAGGCCTGTTCTGGAACGGTGTCGGCAGCAGGTGACTTGATAAACATGGGTTAGCTGCACGTTGGCCTCTCTCCCATTTCCTGAGTTTTTGTTTGTTTGGTTGGTTTCTCTGTAGTTTTAGTTCCTGTCCTGGATCTCGCTCTGTAGACCAGGCTGACCTCGAACTCAGAGATCTGCCTGGCTCTGCCTTCTAAATGCTGAGTTTAAAGGTGTGCGCCACCATGCCCAGCAACCTTGGACCCTTGACCTACCTTCCTTGCCCAGGGCTGGCATGACAGATGTGCACCACACACCCAGTTTTATGTGGAACTGGAGATGGAGCCCAGGGTTTCCCACTTGTTAGGAAAGGACTCTATCTATCAACTGGGCCACATCCTCAGCTCTGGAGGAGGCCTTTCTCACAACACGTTAAGGTCACCTATGTAAACGGGCGCTATGGACTGAGCAAAACTATGCAAACAGCTACGAATGTCACGTCTCCTCTTTATACCTTTCCAAACCTAGCAGAGAAACCTGCCTGACACACCAGAGAGAGAGAAACTTGGAGGGAAGCAGAGGCCTCCCAACGTTCCCAAGACATTTCAGTGCGACCATCCAGAGGCACAGGTGGGAATGTACGGCCCGGCTAGCTGGCTTTGGGTAGATTGTGGGTAGAACTAGTTCAAGTTTAACTGAACTAGTTTTGCTGTCAGTGTTAGTGACAGTCTCTAAGGCCAGGTTCTGATGTGCCATGCTGAGGGCCATCGTGGCATTGCCAAGACCAAGTTAAGTGTGGACACAGCTCACTCAGCAGCATGCCTTGGGGGCCACAGGCTGCTCCTGAAGCAGAGTCCAGTGACAGTTCCAGGCAGGACTCTTCCCAGCTCATCCGAGTTCTTAAGTGAACATTTGTCTAGAAAGATGTGGAAGGGGCCTGGCGTGGTGGCGCACACCTTTAATCCCAACACTTGAAAGGCAGAGTCAGGCGGATCTCTGAGTTCACAGCCAGCCTGGGCTACAGAGCGAGTTCCAGGACAGCCTGAACTACATAGTGAGACCCTGTCTCAACACAAACAACAAGATTATTTTACATGAAGACCGAAGCTCAACTCTCCAGGCCCGGGTAAACATGCTGAACGTGGGGCTGAGAGACATGACTCAGACGTCACAGGCTAGCCTAACAACCAAAGCGTCAAAGAAGCTCAATGTGGCTGTGTCCAGAGCCTGGACCGCTCGCTAGCACTGGGGTGGGGCCCTCTCGCTGAACCTGGTGAGCTGCAGGTCAGGAAGAGGTCTGTCACAGGGAGTGAGGTGGACAGCAACGGAGAACACCCAGTGTCTCTTCTGGCTTCCCCGTATGCACGCACACCCCTGCACACACAAACCAAGTGACGGAGGGAAGGAGGGGCCCGAGCCTACAGGGCCCTTACAGACCAACACCGCCATTTCATCACTGTGGGCGCAGAGCATGGGTGGCTGGGACTCGAGAGACAGTGCACTTTCCAGGAAGAACACAAACAGCACGGAATACCGCTTGAGATGGGCACACCTGTTTAGTGTGTTTATTAGTGAGAATAGTTCAGCATTATTTCCTAAATCAGTTAAAAAAGCTGGATTATCCATTAGTAAGAAAAAAACAAACCTTGGTTTGTAGTTCGATGGTTCACTGTAATAAAGGCGCACTGCCACACCACCTCTGCCATGGGGTCAGCTGGGTAAGAGCAGAGGGCGGAAGTGTGCAACCTCTCCCAGTTTCCAAACCTCTCAATCTCTCACTCTGTAGCCCAGGCTGGCCTCGAACTCAGAGATCCGCCTGGCCCTGCCTCCCGAGTGCTGGGATTAAAGGCGTGTGCCACCACGCCTGGCCCACTCTGTTTTAACCCATTATTTATGTATGAGTGTTCTGTCTGCACGTTCATCTGCAGGCCAGAAGAGGGCGTCGGATTTCATAATAAATGGTGTGAGCCACCACATAGTTGCTGGGAATTGAACTCAGGACCTCGGGAAGGGCAGCCAGTGCTCTTAACCACTGAGCCATCTCTCCAGCCCCCAAATCTCATTCCTTTAACTGGGTTCCATCAGAGTTTTTTCAACCCAAACAGCTTTTCCGCATCCAAGGACAGCCCAGCCCGTGGTGGTTTAAATGGTAACGGTCCCCACAGGCTTCTGTTTGAAAATGTGTTCCCCAGTTGGTGCAACTGCATGGAAGTCTTAGAAGGTGTGGCCTTGTCAGAGGAGGTGTGTTAGTGGGTGGTCTTTGAGATTTCAAGACTCATGCGTTCGGTTTCTCTCTGTGCCCGGTACCTGTGGATCAAGAGAGTTCTCAGCTATTCCTGCCACTGTCTTTGTTCTGCCTCTGTGGACTCCTGACTCTGAACTGCAAGCCCCAGGTAGTCAGTCCCCTCTTATGGTTGCCTCACGGCATCAGGTCACGGCATCTTGTCACAGCACTAGAACAGGGACTGATACTGTGGTACTGATTCTGTTGAGCTTCTGAGATCAGTGAAGCATGATGGCTGGAGACCAAAGCATCTTCCTTCCTAGGCTATTATCAGGGCTGCAGAGATGCTCAGAGGTTAAGAGCATTGGCTGCTTTTGCAGAGGACCTGGTTCAGTCCCCAGACCCACATGGTGGCTGATAGCCATCTCTAACTCTAGTTCCAGGGGATCTGATGCCCTCGTCTATCTTCCTGGGCCACCTACAGCACATAGTACATGTCTACACACATATGCAGGTAACCCCCCACACACACACTAAAACAGTAATCACGAGACCTCTGAGACAAAACCAAGAACAATGACGGGGTGGGGCAAGAGGTGGCCCAGCAGTTACAGAGCACTTACTGTTCTGCAGAGGGCTCAGGTTCAGTTCCCAGCACCCACATCTGGCTCACAACTCCCTGTGACTCTAGTTCTAGGGGTCCAAAGTCCTCTTCTGGTCTCTAAGGGCACCTGGACACACACACACACTCAAGCACACACTGTAAGTAAAGTCAAGGTAAGTAAAATTTAAAAATCAAAAACAACCCAAGAACAATGAAAAACCACTTTTAAAAAAATTTATTTAAGGAACACAAAATGCATCTAAATGATTTTTTTTTTTTGTATTATTTTGAGACAGTTTCTCTGTGTAGCCCTGGCTGTCCTAGAACTCACTCTGTAGCGCAGGCTGGCCTGGAACTCGGAGATTTGCCTGCCTCTGCCTCCTGAGTGCTGGGATTAAAAGAGTACACCACTACTCCAAGCATCTAAATGATTTTTGAAAACCCCAAATTTAACTTTATCATCTGGTACCCATCACTGTACCCAGTCTAAAGGTGGTGTGAAGACTCTAATTCCAGATAAACTGTTGAAATTTCTGACTACAAGAACAGGTACGGTCCAGCGGTAGGTGGCGCACACCTCCTCCTCCTGGAACCAGTCCCCTTGGCCCGCCATGCACACTCGGGAGAGAGCTGGTGAGGGTCCCCTGTTTTCTGACAAAGAGGTTTCCTGTAAAAAGCTAACTGGCCTCTCTTGTTAGGTCCAATGCAGCCATGTCCTCACTGCTTCTGTCTTCTAGTCAACAGATCTACAGACATTAGAGAGTTAAATAAGAATCAACCCCTGCTCTGTGTACTTCCTAGGTGAGACCAGGGTTTACAACATCCATGGAAAGAGGCAGAAGCATAAAATGTGAAATTGGAGGCGTTTCAGTCACCAGTAAAAGAAATTCTCAAAACTTAATT